CCCCCCCCCGTGTTTTTTCTGAGAAGATAGACATTGTAGAACAACTCTTCCTGTCTAAGGGGTAATAGTTTGTTATTTTAGCACACTGTGTTGTAGGAACATAATAACCTAGAAATGTTTCACAGATTAAACCTAAACTTCCCACCCTTGTACATCTGATCTCTGTGAGATTTTTTTTTTTGCCTGTGCAGAGACTAGAGGATCAGGCAACATGCCTAGTGCGCCTGTTAAAGACATGTTTGCCCTCTCATTAGCATTCAGGTATTGCGGGAAGTGCCCTACTCGGATCAGAGGCTTTTATGCTAAACACAGGAAAAAATGCTTATTAAATATTAGGAACAGCAGTTCTGTGTGAGGTTTTACTGGAAATACTGCATAGGCACAGGCCTCTGAGAGAATCTCAGCTCTTCTGATACTTGTTTTTGTTTTTTCAACCTCCCTGGAGAACAAGTGTCGCATTAGGTGAAATATATTTTTTCTAATTTGGATGACCTCAAGCACTGTAGCGAAGGACAGCATGGTTGTGTGTTGTTCATGTCTTACGACAGCTTCCATCGTTCAGGGATGGAGCGTGCGGTGTTTCGGGTGAGTCGCTGGCCTCTGTGATTTAATTCACAAGTAACATTCTGTGGTGTGGTAGGCGGTGGGGTAAAGGAGCGTGTTTCTGAGCCTTCTCCCAAGAGACACCATTTAGCTGCAGACCTGCTGGCCTGTCCTCAGCTTCACCTTCTGTCCAGTTCCATGAAAAGCGCTTCTTGTATGAGCAGTGTTTTTGGTGTCTGAGGTCACACGTGTGTGGTCCTGCCCGTCCTCAGCCACATGACTCTGTGCGGAGCTGCGGCTGTTCTTTGCACTGCCAGATCAAGGTTTGGGGATGGCACATCTCGATCGGTCATGAATATGCTGACTGTGCTGTGGAAAACCTAGCTGCTTTGTAATATTCAGTAGCCTGAGACGCATACAGAACATGCTGTTGACAGTAGCAGCAAAGCAGCTGTGCTCATTTGCGAGAAGCCAAGCCCATTCAAAGCAGCTTAATTTCTAGAAACAAAGAGTAGAAGAGTTGTGGGCACTTTGAGGAAAAAAACACCTGTAGTATTCTGTTGGCCTCTTGCTGTTAATGCTTCATTACAAGTGCTGGCTGTTCTTCAGCTGAGGAAGAAGTGAAAATGTCTCTTCAGCCCCACTCACTTTGGAAGGAGCAGGGAATCTCCTCTCCAGCATCTCAGTTGCAGTGTCTCTTGCCTTAATAATTTTGTTGTTTGTCCATATGTTGACCATAGGCTTTTCAGACAGCGGTATTGTTAAAGCTGGTATAATTCATGTCAGTATCACCACTTCCTATAGGCTTCTGAAGAGCATTGCAAAACCATTTTCAGCCTTAAGGCTTCCCCCCGCTCTGCTCTTTATGAAACTATTGCCAGCACCAGAGGCAGTAGAAATGTGTCCCGGCAGGAAAACATCCGTGAAACAAGTTACATTTGATTCATGTCTGAAGATAGTCTTCACAAACATGAGGGTGAGAAACACAGCTAAAAAAAGTTTAATCGTTTCTTAAACCATCACCTTCTACAGAATTTATGCTGTATTCACCAGGGAAAGCCATCTGTACCCACACTGTCAGGGTGGTGTTTTTTTTTTTTTTTTTTCCCCACGTCCTGGGCATATTGCATTTATAAAAATAGTATTCCCTGTAAATCAGGCTTTGGGAGCCAAACACTGTGAACGTTCAGAGCTACTGTTTTATACTGAGATTTAATTAATGCTGGGATGAGGCACAAGCAGTGCACATTGAGAGAGTCTTACAATAACATTTTACTTTAAAGGACATTAAACGCACCAACTACATTTATATCTTTCCTCTTCCCAGAGCTTTACCTGGCTTAGTAAGGGTATAAATAAACTGAAGAAACCTTCCAGGGTTTAGTGTACGATTATAGGTAATTTTAATTGCAATCGAAATTTTTTATTATTTCAGAAGAACAGGTACTTTTACAAGCACAATGAGTGAAATTACACAAAATCATGAATCCCTGTTTTTGTGTTTGATTTCCAGCTAACAGTTAATGAAGCAGCCGCTCAGCTGTGTGTAAAAGATAACGCGTTGTTGACCAGGAGAGATGAACTCTTCGCACTAGCTCGGCAAATCTCTCGAGAAGTTACATACAAGTATACTTACAGGACCACCAAGTAAGGTTTTAATTAACTCAAAGGACCTTTACTTTCAGGGAGCTAATCAGTCTGATAGCATTTCTTCTAAAGAACTGGAGACACTTTCTTCTTACTCTTTAGCTAGCAAAGTGCTCTTCTGAGGAGGGTAGGAAAATGCTGTTTAAGTTGTGAAGCTTTCAAACTGCTAAGATTTCGCCGTCTTGAATTACCTTTTTATTTGCTCTCTAGTTTTCCAGATTTTGCGATGATAGTGCATGTTGAGAGGCATCTGAGAGGCTGGCGTTTCAAGTATTTGAGGCATTTGTGTATTTCAAGGTTAATGCAAATAGGCAGAGTAGCCAAACCTGCTTAATATATCAGTTATTCTTTTTTCCATATACAAATTTGCCTTCTTAGTTTCCAGGGAGTGAAAAAGATAAGGTCATAGGGAGTGGCTTACAAACTTGCTTTAAAGGAACTGGAGTCCTAATTTCAGTTGTTACTGTTCTGTTAAATGAACTACTGTTATGAAACAGTAACAAAGGCAGCTTAACAGCTTTTAAATCCAATTAAAACTTTAGAATTAATAAATATGATTGAAAGTCTTGATACTTTCTATATAATATTTTTAAATGTTCACTCCCTTGAGTAATGCAGTATCCTTTCAAAATACATTTTCCTACACTTCTAGGAGCTTGTTATGGTTTTCCTTTGCTCCCCTTTCTTCCACAGTGATTACTGTAAATATACATCCGTTCTCGGTAAGTAATGCCAAAGGCATTTCTGTAATTCTCTGTGCTCAGGTAGCTTTCCTTTCTGTTCGGAAGAAGAGTGCATGAGTCTCTTGACATTTTTGAAAACAACACAAGGCGCTTGTATTCCTCTATACTTGAGTGACGTTTATTGTCGTCTCCAAGTGAATTGGAGGTTTTTTCTGTGCATCTCACTTGTTCTTGCCTGATTTATTATTTTTTTTCCTTGACTCTGTTTTTCATTATTATTTCTGATGGTCAGGGTTAATGTGCTGTTTACTGATAGTGTATGTGTCTTCTCTTCTAGATCTAAATGTGGAGAAAGGGATGAGCTGTCACCAAAGAGAATCAAGATAGAGGTACAGTATTGTGACTCCTGTATTTTGACCTATGCATGCTAAATAAAATTCACTTGTTTTGAAGGGATCTGTCTTAAGGAAATTTGTCAGAAAAACATTTGACAGAGAGTTGATGGGTGTGAGAGAGAGAGGTGGGGAACATCACCACTGTCTCTGCAAATGTAAATGCTTGATGGAGAAACCTGTAGGAGCAGGGATAAAGAGTAGGATTTGCTTAATTGTAAAGTTACTCTCAGTGTTTTGCGCTCTGAGTGAGTAGGAGGGGGAGGAATGAGACTGACTGATTTCCTGTGGTGGAATAAGCTTGAGCACTATAGGAAGTGTCTTCCCAAAAGGCCTCCTGCTTTTAAGTCAGTGTGAGGTGGGGTTTGCTTAATTCGCTTGAGTCAGCTTGTGATCTTGTCCAAAATCCAGAGTTCTGGGTAAGGATTGATGGTGGAATACTAACCATCTCTGACTATGCTATAAATTATAAACCTGATCATATTGAAAAGTCAAAAGCTAACTAAAAGCTGTATAAGTCAACAGAAATGTTTGTGCCTGTAGATATTAATTTACAGTTTTTTGTAATTAGTTTTGTGTAAAAACTGCATGTACACATGGCTAATGTATACACCTGCACAAGATGTTGTTGGGAGTTTCTTGTTAGGACTGCAGGAGCAACATATATATAGTTTATCTTCTTCTTTGGTTACCACTGCTGGGAAGTAAATGTGAGGCCTTTGAAAAAGTCACTTTTAATTTAAAAAAAAAAACAAACAACAAAAACAAACCTTGGAAGTATGTGTACCTATGTACCTCATAAGAATAGCAGATCTTCCTTATAATTTATTTTTTAAACAAATTACTGTTTCACTGTTACATGGGTATCTAATTCATCCTTAGTGCTGTGGGGTTTTTTTATTGTACTTCTGCTCCAAAAGGTGATGCTTAAACATGCATTAGAATGTAAGCTAGGCCTGAGCTAGATTTGTATGTGACACAGATAGGCGATATATTCTTTATCTGTAGAAAACAGTTGCAGCATCTTCTGGAATGCGTTTTTCATGTGTAACTTATTCTATGAAAAATGATGCACTGAATGTAAGGCTTTCATTTTTTTCAGTAGTGCGATCCTTTGTTACCTGTACAAAGGCTTTTCCTGTGAGGCAAACCCTGGTGAGAGCAGTTAGTTTTGAAAAGGCAATTATGAATAGGTATGGAGGAGTTAACATTTATTTATTTATTTATTGAGTTCTGTTGGTCTGTGTACAGCTGTAGTTTGAGTTTATATTATACAAAATATACACTTGCATTGAGGATTTACTGGTACCTTTGATGATAAGTCAGTAATGTCATTTAGATATGTTAGGATTTGCTTTGACCTATGCTTGTTCTTTGATCCACAAAAAAGAGCAGGGAAATGCTGCATTAAATGATTTTATCCACCTTCACCGTTATCTGCCTTGACCAACACGTTGCAGGATGGTTGCTTGAGTCTCCCCTCTTTTGCCCAGTCTAGTCCTACTTTATAAGAGCTAGTGGGGAGCTGCTGCTCCTCTGCTTGAAATAGTATTTCACTGACTATTGGATTTCAGCATTAGGAAGTTTTTCCTTCATTCAGTAATAATTGATGATGAGCAACTATCTAAAATGACACACTGCAAGGGAGGTGCTTTATTCCACAGGATCTTCATTGAAAGAAAAAGTAAAATTAAAATCCTGAAAAATACAGCATGAAACAGTTTTTTTGGGGAGCAGGAAATTTGGACAGCCTTTAGGGGATGTGCATTCTCTTATTTTCTGCATGGTGAAATCTTAAAGTCTGGAAGGCCTGCTTTCTCTAGACACTTTTTAGTTCAGTAATTCTGAGAAAGGATGTTTACTTGAATTTCTTTTTATCTAAAATTACAGTCATATTTTAAAATGCATGTGAAAATTCCATGTCCTAACTGTACAAATGACTATTTCAGAAATAGGACTTTTTTCCAAAATAAGAAATTGAAAATTAAACTAAATGAAATAATCTTTCATTTGATAGCATAGCATTATTAATTATGAAATTACCAGTGTTGTTACCAGCATAAATGTCTTTTTCCTTACAAGTTTGGGAGTCTTCTAAGGAGTAAACCATGACTTCAGTGCATTATAATTCTGAGATACACTGTAAATCATGGACTTTTCTTCAAAGAAATTAAAAAAAGATGCAGTATTACTAAGTAGGTCACTTTTACATGTGGTGTTTTGAGTTCTTGGGGCTTGCATTTTGCAAAAAAAAAAAAAAGCTCCTTTTTTTAGTAGTATGGGGATTTTTTTGTGTGTTGTGTTTTGTTCGTTTTTAGAAAAGTGGAGATAAAAATGAAAATGGTAGCAAATGCTGCAGATTTTTCCTTCTGTTCTAGATAAGAATTCCTCATCCTGTTTTTAAAGTTGTAATGCTTCAATGTGGCTCTATTAGCTCACTATCATGCTAATATCATGCAGAGGATCTGAACATGGGTGGGTTGGTGTTTTTTTGCTGTTGTTGTAACTAGGTCTTTTTTTTTTTTTTTTTTCCTTTCCTTTTTTTTTTTTTTTTGGTAAAGGTCATTTTGCCTTTCTGTTTTAAGGCTGAACTCTGTATTTTGATTCACCATTCCTTTAACCATTAGTCATTAATCTCTCTGCAAAGCGTGGTCTAAAATACTAGCGCTTGCATTTGGAAAGACTTCGCACCCTGTTTGCATAGTGTAAAAGATTACTTAAAAAAAAAAACCATGAGTTAATTTCCTGAAATATAATAACACTTAAAAAAAACTCCAGAGAGACTTTGAAGGTCATCGTTGAGCAGAGCTAGCAGAGCTGTGTGTGCAGGCTGCGACACTGCCAGGTTACAGCCGTCATTGTAAATTTATCCTCTTCATGAATATGAAACTCACACAAGCATTACAAAGAAACAATATGCCATGAATTACATCAAATTACCTGTAAAAGCCTTTCTCTTCCCCTGCGAGCTCTCCCCCTCTTATTCGTAGAGTGGGTGGGTGAGCTGTGGGAGTGAAGCGTAGAGAGGAGAAGGGAAAAAATTCTAGGCAAATGACAGACTAAAGGTGTGAAGGGAGTGAAAAAGGGAATGGAGTGAATTGGGTTTTGGAAGCAGATGATAAAAAAGGGTTGTCGTTCCTAAACCCGCTCTGGACAAAGGGCAGGACAGGCGAATAGGGATGGAAATGCCGCACCCTCTTGCAGAGCAAGGATCTCTCCTGCCATAGGTGTTGTGGGGTGGGGGCACCCCTTATTTTGTCATCTTCCGTGACTCAGTACCGGCACTGCTCAAAGCGATGAGCTGTTGTGGCACCAGCTTAGAAAGCAAAACAAGTCACAGGTATATCACGCAGAAGTCATGGAGGGAGAAGCTACTCATCGCTGCTGCTGCTGCTTTGCATTGGGGTTGAGGAGGTTCCCCTTCAGAGTCAGTGCGAACAGCCAAGAGAGCAAAGAAAGAGAGTTTTAAAAATATTCTTGCGGTCTGCGGTATAAAGGAATTGTTCTGTGTGTCAGTGTCTCCGTTCAGCTGAACGAGAGGGGTGGGGAGAGCTTGCAAAAGCTAATTTCACAAAGCTCAGTGGGAGTCAGGGGGCGCAGGCAGGGAGACCTGAGTGGAGGCTGCAAGGAAGCGTCTTCCCTTGGTGCCGGTACGGGTGGAGGGAGAGGAGAGAAAAGGCCCACCTCCACCGTTGCCGAGAAGGTTGAAAAGAAAACCAGTCGAAGTGTGGGATATGTGTTTTTCACAAAAACAGCAAAAGCAGTAGAAGCTACTGTTTGCATAGGAAAAATGTCATTAGGGGGAGCGAAAAAGCACATGTGGGACTGAGAACATCTGCTGCACGAAGCCGCTTGAAAAACAACTGAGCAGCAGCATGGCAAAACAAAAATGCTGTACTGCATGCAGCAGGCCCTCCTGACCGCAGAGGGAAAAGGAACCTCCAGGCAAACATGGTGCAGAGCAGGTCATCGCCTGGCCCAGCCTGCTCCTCGTCAGCCCTTACCGACGGAGCAGTGGGGAGGAGAACAGCCAGCGGTGGGGAAAGGCTCCAGGAAGGTGATCCAGAACTGCATCGTCACCAGAGTTACCTGCGTGACTGACGGGTGACGGTCGCGGCAACAAACAGCAACGGGTAGCCGGGCCTGCTTTTAGGAAACAGCCTTTGGTTTTGTATTGGCACGTGATCACAGATGCATTATAAAGAGCCGTGTTACCTGTTTTGTTGCAAAAATACGACCCTGAGTGATAGGTTTTTGTGTATGCAGTTTCTCATCTTCCTACACATAATCGTTCTCCTCTCCCAAACAAATTCAGGTCTAACTGTGAAAACGGTCAGTGCTAATGGAAATGTGCTGCAAAGCCTTTGTTTCTAGAGCATGAGGTTTTGTGGCAATTTACCTGGTTATGAAATTTTGCATACCTGTCATGTTTATTTTTTCCCTGAGGGAGTATGTTGGGTGGATAAAAGCAATATGCAGTGTTCAGACAGATTTTTTTTTTTTTTCCCCCTCCCCTGAGCATAAAGAATAGCTTTATTGGCATTATGTTGCACTGAGGGTCTGGCCACCTGACATGGGTCTGACCACCACTCTGCAGGTCAGTAGGCAGCCTGCCAACGGCATGGACCTTGTAGTCCTTCCTCTGTGGTTTTTTCTGAAAGATGGCTTTTCTTGTTCTTGGGCTGTAACCCATTTGTCCAGCTATTGTCAAAAATGTTATTATTTCAATGCGTGTGACCTCTAGAATCCACAAGGAAAATATACCTAATTTGGCATACTTTTGATACCTGGGTCTATGGATCCTCAGTGACAGGTGTCACTGTTTCCAGGTTTGGGTCTGTCTTAAGATCTCTAGCTTCCTCTCACATTGTGACAGTCACCTATACTGTGCTTTTGTAAACATTTCTGAATGTTCCTCTATTTTACATGAGCTTTACTTTCGTAATGCCAAGTAGGATAAATTTCTCATCTTGAACCTTTGCTTCGATGATTAATTTATTTTAATGGAGTCTGGCAGGCTTTCACAGGCACTTTATTTGCTTTATTGGTACATATGCAAGCTGCAAAAGAGATTTGCATGTCATAAGCATTTGAGACTGAAAGAATTATTGAATCATGATTTCCCATAGTATGTAAACTCTTTGCTACCCTACTTTTAAAATGGTGATATTTCATTTTGTGATACTAGTATAGGTTCTGTGTGAAATATGTTGAATTTCAGGAGGCTTTGCTCAGTTTCTCAAGGTTAGTGTATCCAGCTGCTGTGCCTTATTCTCAACTTCATATAAACTTGATTTCTTAAGAATCTCTAAAGCCGCTGTATGTAGCGAGTGACAGAAGCCACGGGCCTGAATCTACCTGGCAAGAGTGAATGTGAACTAGTTTAATGTCAGTGACAACAGTAGTCTGGGTTCACCTGAAACTGTAAGAGATGAGATATGATTGCCTGTGTATGCCATTTTAGATATATAGCAGTTGTTGTTGAAAGGCTATGTGTATTTTATGCATAAACTTAAATGAAATGGATAGCACAAATATGTAAATTGGAGTCCAGAATTTTTACAAAAGTTCAGGAATGGTTTTAGTTGTTTTTTTATTTCTTTTGAGTATACAGAGAGGGTGAAGAAAAATCAGTAATATGTCCCTCTTGGTGTTTGGTTTCTTCTTATGCTCAATAGGATGGCTATCCTGATTTCCAGGACACAGTCCAGTCGCTGTATCAGCAAGACAAAATGCCACTCGCTTTGGCTAAAGGAAAGAGTGAAGACTCAACAGCTCTTAATTCCCAGGTAAACCAACTGCACTACACTGTGAATAATATAGACCACGTCTTTCTTTGTACATCGATTTTGATGTATTGTTTTGATGACTCAAGTAATTATTGTCAATTTTCAAAGGCTACCTAGCTTTGCTGTGATTGCATCACTCTTAATTTGGGTTTACCTTCTGAAACTGTTCTGACACAGTGCTACACCTTTACCCTTGTTAGTTCCAAGAAGGTAAGATCTAGTGTAGTAGGCTTGAAAATACGCGATTGCTTGTTGGGAGCAAGTAGGGTACTATTGGTACAGTATGTGCTGTGTTACTTGCTTTATTAGATATAAATGGAAAGTTCAAGTTACTGAGTCTAGAGGAACAGAGTAGGTGATCTTGGAGTCCTCAGTTCTGACGTTTCTTGTAAGAAGAAAGGCCAATATATTTAGGAAATAGTGAACCTCTGGATCCGAGAGGATAATTTGCTTTCGAAGTAACATCTAGCCGGGTGGAAGTGCAGTGTTTTCGAGTATCCAGAACGCTTTTTATAAATGAAGACAGGCTTCCGATTCTTTCTTTGTCTTTTCTGTAGTGTATCCCAGCCTTGAGGCAAAATACGCATCTCCTACTGCCAGTTGTTGCCAAGGAGGGATTTCATGCTAAGTTGCTACAAATTTATTTTGTATAGCTGATTTGCGCAAATGTAATCGCCAAATTTTCATGTAAGATTACATTTAAGAGTTACACTCCTGTTTCCTGAGACTAGATGTGTTACCCTGTCTTTTACCTTCTTCTATTGCAAAGTCGTGTACAGTCATAGAAATCTGTTCATTGCAATGCATCAAAAAGCAATTATGCTACATGTTCTGATGTCACATGATTAAATGAACTTCATTTTTGCAAGCTTATTTTCATCTGGTGTATGCTTTAAAGTTTTCATAGGTCACTGCTACATAACAATGGATTAGAGATTTATTTTAAGCTTAAATGTATCTACAAGTCTACACGTTTTTCTGCAGTGATCAGAAGCATTATTGCTGTTTAAAATTCTGGTTTTATCCCAGTTAAACAACAAAGATGGCATGATTTTATTCTTTTTAAAAATTATTTTATAGTTCAAAAGTTGTAACAGGAGTGACAGAATAGCAAAATTAAAGCACACTTGAAAGTAAACTGTTTGAAAATAGTTTCTTTTTTTTATGTACCTCCCAAGACCAAGCTTGAGCTATCAGTGCTCTTCTGCAGAACCTGATGAGCTCTAAGCCAGAGTAAGTAAATATCGGTCATGTCACTACCCTGCTGTCAGGATCATCACTGTGCTGGAGAAGCTCAGATTTTGCTGGTCTATTATGCTGTCATTTTATTTGTAAATTGTTGAACTATGCTGAGTAAGCAGACTTTCATGGGAAGTCAGGGCTTTCATCATCTCCCAAGAAAAGTTAAGTGCTCTGCAATTAATAGGCCTCTGTACTAGCTGAAACACTTATGGCATTACCTGGAAGAGAAATTTTTTTTTTTCCTATCAATTGTAGATGTTAAGTTTGTACATATTCTGTTCTTATGTTCATTGTGGCTCTTCTAAATCAACTTTCTTGACTTGTGATTTTATTTTTGCAAGATGCTTATTTACATTCTCAAGAACAAGATTATATTGAAAGTTTGAATTCTCTTGGCATTAAAGTCAATGACAAACATTCAGACACCATTTCCTCCCACGTTGCACTGCATTGTTTAGTTTCACTCTCTAGAGGTGTATAGGTCTTGTTCTTCTTCTAGACAGACATTTCACACCTTTATCCCCCACAAACATACTGTCATCCTACACTTTCAGAATGGCAGATTTTTAAGCTTGTGTAGTGCTGTTTCCTAAAATAAAGATTCCAAGATGTCTGGTGAAATCTTGGCATAAGTTTTTAGCAGATGTTGCCATTGCTCTTGGAATACTTTTTGGAATACTTTGTGAAGACATATATTTGAACAGAGCTAACTGGATAATTAAGACATTATTTCTTGCTTTTCTTGAGATTCTCTTCACGTAACCTGCAGTCCTAAAGTGCAGAAAGTGATTTTTGTGTGTTTTCGAAGAACAGAATTTAATGTTGCATTTCTGCATGGATGAACTACAGCAGCTTGCATTTTAAGTATTCTTGAGTGACTCAGATGTACAGTATGAAAATCTTTATGGGTGCAAAAATATTTTGTTTGCTTGATAGTTTTGAAGAAACTGTAAAGCACACATCTGTACATCTGAGTCAACAAAAACCTATATCTAGGCTGTTAGTGTTATCATCTGATATTGTTTTCTTTCCCTGTTGTGACTCGCTGTATGTATGTATATAAAGAGAATTCTTTTTTGCTTTATTTGCAGTCAGAAAAGGTGATGGCAAAACAGATGGAGTTTCTTTGCAACCAGGCTGCATTAGAAAGACGTCTTTCCACAGGGTGTTACAGACAAAACTCAGAAGAGCACAGCCCCAATGGCATGTCATTAGATAATGCTGATGGACAAGGTATGGTAGCTTCCAGGCATGGCATTCCTGCCAGCAAATACATTTGATATTGCGCAACCTTTGTCAGTGGTGTGGTGTTATTTATCTAGTATAGAACACTGAGCACTGAATGGACAAGACAAGATCTCTGCCCTGAAGTGCTTACAGTCTAAATAATGCAATCAGATGTGCAGTCAGATTCTGCTCTGTTACTCTAATGTGTCTGGGCAAACTGCTTTCCCTATGGATAGCATGGGGAGGGAAGAAGGCAGGGTACGCTACTATTCTTGAGGGCAGAACTTGGCACTAGCTTTATCCTAAGTTTTGAAAACAGAGCAGAATGTTGCATGTCTTTCTGTTCTTGCTTTGTGGAAATTGAAAATGAAGCAGATAATGTAGTTGGTACCCCTTTTTGTTTACCTGTTTGTGCAGTCTAGGAACAAAACCTGAGAACCTGGCTATGTAAATGACTTAGAACTAAGCAGATTCTAACGATGTTCTTAGTAGCTTGTTATTCTTCAAAAAAGCTTATGATTTTGTGGTTATCTCTTTGATTTACCAAGTGGCTATTCCTTAGCTTGAATTAATTTTAGGAGTGTTTGTTTTGTTCGAGCACTTTCTGTTTGGATTTCTTTTTTTACTGTTGTGAAATGAGACAAAATGTTATAAACACAAGAAATACAACCAGAAGTTCTTGTATCTGTTTTTTAAGAGCTAGTTTGTTTAAGGGGGAGGGGGGGGAGAAGCAGTAGCGGGAGAAAGAGAAACTAAGGGAATCCATATAAGTGAATGTTAAAACATGTTTTCATTTGTATGTATTGGTCAAGCAATGCAGTACACAAGTATACAGGAAGAATTAGGTGTGTGGATCCAGCTCTTCTTGATGGTACAAGCTTCTTTATACATTTATCCATTGTGCAGTGGGAGGGGGAATTTTTAGGATCTCAAAGGGGTTTTGAGCAGAATAAGAGAGTTGGTTTTTTTGGTTCCTTGGTTTGGTGGTTTTGGTTGGTTGGGTTTTTTTGGTATGGCTGAGTGTCCCTTTCTAGCAGTGCCTGTGGAATAGTCTGCAAAGCAGCATATTTCCATAAGCCTTGTTTTGCTAGAAAACTTTCCTGAGCAGCTGGAATTTAGGATGCGCTTTTGCTGATAGAATTTGTATGTCTTTAAGTCTCTACCTGTTTTTAATATTGCTTTGCTTTTAATGCATCAATGTTTCACTGTGAATAACTTCCAGGTGAAAGACCGCTGAATCTCCGAATGTCAAATCTGCCAAGTAGACAGCTGCAGCACGTTTCACTTGATGGAGAGCAGCATGTTGGAAAACCTCTGTGCAGTGATTTGATCCGGCTTTACCCCAGTGGTGAGGCAAAGTCCCAGTCCTCGGGTTAGTGCTGTCCCTTGTAAATTACCCACCTTTTCTTACAAAGCCTGTGATGAACTTACTAATACATGATCTCTCTGAGTGAAGAAGCCAGTAGCTCAGCCTGGCATGCTTTGTGTGTAACCTTTTAATCAAGGCTTTGGACAGAACTTCAAGAGGAGTGTTACTTGCTAATCTAGAATCAGATTGAATATTATTTGAGAAAAGCTTAAAGGATTCGTAACTAGGTTCAGATAAGCAAGTTCTGGCATGTGTCTGTCCTCAGATAGTGGTATTGACCCAAACTACTGCTGTTAAATACTTCTGTTGCTGTCATTGTAATGCAGTTTGATTATAACATGGCTTCACTCTGTGTAAAGGAATCCGACTTCTTATAAAGACTTTTTATTCTGGTTTGTAAGGACCTAGCGCCATTCCTATTCTGTCAACCAAATCATGCATTAAGTCTTTTGAACTGGCTTTCCCATTCACTGACTTCTGCTCACTGGCAATCCTGTCATTTACCTCTGGCATGGGGGGAAACTCATTATAAGGTTGATAGAAGACAGCAAGAATCCTTTGTGAAATCTATATGGGTGGTTTCAGTTTAATACTCGGCACACTGAGATAAAGCCAGGAATTCTTGACACTTTCACAACTTCAGGAATAATAATAAAATCCCACCTGAGTTTGGAAGATGCAATGGGAAGGAGGTTATTTGAAAGACAAGATGCAAAAGTAGTTGTTTTCAAGACTGGGCAGAATCTTACATCTTCCACTTTGGTATAGTGCAATCTTAGCTCACCTTTTTTTGCAGTTTATCCCAATCCCAGTGATAATTCACTTAGTGGAATTTCTAGTTGGGGATTTTACCAGTTCCCTTTCAAAATGCAGGTGAAGAGTGCATCTCCACTAAGCCCTGATGCCAGAGAGAACTGAAGTAAATCTGTGGTGATTACTCTGTCATTGTCACTGCAATGTAACTGAGGTGGTTCTAACCCAGCTGGGTTAAAGCCCAGTAGGAGGAGGCAGAATTTACTGCTTCAACTCTTAGTATCCATATGGTTCATGGACCTTTTTCTTGAATTAAGAACAGAATATATTTGTTTCCAAGCAGCATTTTTAACATCTTTTTTTCTTTCTTTCTTTTTTTCTTTTCTTAATGCAGAAGGCCTTGGTATTTTAAAGGATTTTCCTCATTCGGCTTTTAACAACATAGAAAGGAAGGTCATAAAAACAGAACCTGAAGACACAAGATAGTCATTCTGCTCTGGAAAATGGTGTCATAGTAAAGAATGAAACTTCACAAGAGAAAAAAAACCAGCCTTAATAACCAGTGTTGCCTCATTCAAATAAGAGATTTCAATAGCCAAAGCCTAAGAACTGGTACAGTAATCTGTGGAAGCAGGAAAGCAAGAGACACTGCAAACTAAAACAGTAATACAGGTGGATAAACATTCCTGTAAAAGTGGTTTTATAACGTGGGAAGATTCACAAATTAATATTGTGGGTCTTCATTATTTAAGAATGTATTATGTATTTGTATAACTTATCAAAGTAAATCTAGATGTCGGGACGTGTATTGAGTCCAGTAGATGTGGCTACAGTTCATTTTACTTGAAATTTCAATGTCTACTTTTAAGTGTACCTAGCGTAGATATGGTTGTTAAACATTTGAATTAAAAATCCTTGGAGAATTAGGAATGCGAACCTTGTGACACAATTAACAGCAAGTTTGCAACAATATTTGTAGAAAAAAGGAAAATGCATAAAATATTTCATGGTTTAAAATGTTATGTGGATATAGCATAGACCTAGACCCTGATTCTGTATTATAGCGGACGTACTTGACACTTAACTATTGTTACATCACTTTCAATGGTTTCAGCAGCCTTTGTGTAACACACTTACAGCATAATACCTACCTACAGTTCAGGAGTGTAGAAAATGCCAGTTAGAGTATGGAAGAGTCCATATGATTGGCTCCCGTTTTGCTGGGAGAAACTATGGTTTGATATACTGTATAATTACTAAAATCTCATTTGGTAGGAAACCCAAGAGACCAAGTAGCATGGACAGGGCTGCAAAAATTGTGATTTAGACCATTATAACTTTTCGGACTTCTCTGTGGATCTTAAAAGAGAAGGGGAAAAAAAAAAAAAAAAGCAAGCCTCCTAGGTGTGGCAAAGATGAAATATGATGCAGGATTTGTGCATTGGTGTAAAAGGTTGCACCTGATATCCAGAAACCATAAGATCTTTTGGAGGAGAGAGACAAGGAGTTACGTCTTTAGCATGTGATTCCTTATTAAGTGCTGTCCAGCCCACATGATTCTATGAATATACCGTATACTGCATACAGTATGCCAATATGTTTCTTTATATATGTGATTAATTAACATCTGTATTCTTTATTTATTTGACAGTTTTTATTTTTTGTACATTTTCACTTTTGCAGATGTCATTTTATCTAAGGAGAAATAGTCGGCATATAACTTTGGAATTTACCATGGTGTGTTTGTGTGCATCCATTTTTCCTCTGTGCAACTCCCTCAATAAGAGTTGCTTTCCCGCAGTCAAAATAGTTATATGCCTCAGTTTCTGAATACAGTTTTTGCCTACAATGTGTTCTGGAGGGGAAAGGGAGGGCTGAAGAAAGTAAGTTACCATGCCAGTGGGTAAACTTCCATATTCAGGTGTGCACTTCATGTCTGCAGTTTGCTCTGTGTCATAGATGTGTGTTAACGATTCAGTCACAGTCTATGTTGTACTGAAAGGGTCAGCGAAATGTGAGCTGAAATGTCTACACTGCAGTCTCTTATCACTGTAAACGTATCTAATTATTTTATCACTTTTGATTTGTGGAACAAAGCTTTATAGTAGAAACACCAGTAAACAACTTTTTATACTATTAAAATGTTTGGTTTTTTAAAAAAATGTTTCTTGAACTGTATGGTACTGTTTCACTTACTGAAGTATCTTACTTTAAGCAACGGAGTTTGCAGCTTTGCTGTTAGAAATAAGAGATTGAATGTGTAGTTATATTTCCTCTTTCCTGTTGTGTGAGCTAGTAATACGGATAAGATATTCCTTGAGTTTGTAACATTAGCCAGTGCCCTGGTTAGTATCCGAGTAGCTTTCATGAGATGTGTATGGAACTTGTTAAAGGACAGCTTAAGGTTTGAACTATACTGGCATGATCAAAAGTTGCGCATGGATCACAGAAGAAGCTCTTAAGCTTGCTGGTCTCTTCAATTAAAGTGAGAGGAAGGACAAAGAACTTGCTAAACAGCACGCTGTTTCAGTTGAGTCCAGAGTTTATTTTGTAAACACTAATGTATTAAATTTGCTATAAATTAAAGTATATAACAGTTATATTTTTGAGTTGTAAATACAGTACTTTGTGTCACGACCAGTTGGTTATCTCTAGAATGATATTTCAGTTTATAGTCCAACAGGCCATTTCAGTCTCAATAAGCTGGAAGCAATTTTTTTTACTGTTTTGCAGCTGTGTGACTTTTTTTTTTAACCTGGGGAGGGAGGTGGAAGGTACATTCTGAGATTGCACATACATTTGGTAATAGCAAATATTCAAGCGTTGGTCTTTCCATGACAAAGGTCTTGGTGGACTGCAACTTGACTAGCCTCTAGAGTCGCAGGTGAAGTCTTGCCCTCATCTGCTCTTGAAGGGTTGCTAGATTCAGGGTACTCTGGATCAAAGGCCAGCCCTGCAAATGTTGCCTGTTCTTATCCACATGTTTATATTGTTGCTTACGAAATAAAATTCACCGTGAGAACTCTTTAGTTTCCCCAGGGGTTTTTCCTTCTTTTTTTTTTTTTTAATTTTATTTTATTTTATTGTGTTTTCTAAAAGGAGGTGTTAATTCTCTGGGGATAGGGGAGGAGGGAGTAGCTTGAACAGCAGCTCTCACTGGAGGAAGCCTTTTCCGGCTCTTGTGGTTGAATCCTCATTAATGGGTAGCCTCGTTACGTGCACAGCCTGCGGGGCTTGAGTGGGCCACGGCAAAGAGGGAGGAACTAAAACCCAGGAAGGGTCTGCAGCGTGCCAGTCATATTTAACGCCCTCCCCACCTCCCGCACTCTTGCTTTTGTGCATGCTTATAGTTGCAGAAGAACGCCAACAAAGCAGATCTGCCAGGAGGTGATCCTAGGCAGCTGTAGGTGGTTGTTGGGAATGCAGGAGACGAAGCATCGCTGCCCAGCCCTGTGGCTGCCCTCGACGCTTGTCTTGGTGATCCACCCCGGTTCAACTCGCTTTCTAAACGACGGCCCACATCCGATAGTGAAGTGCTAAAGTGTCGCTGGAGGACAGAAACTGAAGGGGAGATGGGGTATAAATAGGGAAGAGAAACAGACCAGGGAGCAAAAATATCCAAGAGAAGTGGGGGGGAACCCCACCAAAACCCCTCAAAAATGGGCAGCTTGCTGAGATGATGTAGAAGTTGGGTGTGATTTAGAGGGGAGGGGAGAATCCGCTCAGCCCGACGGGGTCAGAGTCAGGTGCAATCCCCCTGCTTTCTCCCGGTCCAGAGGAGATTAGATGTGGGAAATCGGAACCAATGGCTAAATGTTTGCTGGTTTTTGTCTGCACTTCAGTGTGATCCTGCCCGGTTCTGGGAGAGGAAATGGGAGGGGGAAGGAAGCAGCTAGGCACTGTTGTCATGAAGGATGGGACAGAATATGGCACGAGTTATTTATTGATCTTCCAGACTGCACACAAGTAGAACTGGAAAACCTTTAGGTACTTACTCTTTCTTAACTTGCAGCAGCTGGCTGAAGTTCAATAAAAACACAGTGATGCTGGGCAGGCAGGGTCCTCCTAGGGCCCACAGGCTTGCGTCAGGCCCACCAGATTCAGTGTCTCACCCAGGTGCTGCGAAGCTTAATGCCGGGAGCTCCTCAGCTGGGAAGCATTGTTGGATTAAACAACTATTACAGAAGGGTCATTAATGTTAATTTCAAATTCAGGAGGTGCCTGTTTCTCAACGGAGCCAAAAACCCTCTTTGTCTTTTAAATTTTTATGGCTGGCTACCTGCCTAAAGCTCCTGTGTCTTCTTCTAAATAAGGAATTGATATGAGGGTCAGCAGGGAAGGCGTCCGCTCGTGGGGATGGCTTTGCCCACGACAACGGCTGCAGAACTCGTTTCCTCCATGTTTTCTTTTCGAAATGCAGGGAACTGGTACACAAACACCAGGTTCAGGCACGGTGCTGAGATGTCTTCCAGTGGCCCCTAGTTAAAGCACAAAGGCTCGTTCCCGCACTCGGGCTTGGACCCGGGCTCCCGCGGCGGTGGGGAGAGCGCACCGTGCTCCGGGCACCCCGCTCTGCTCCTTCCCTTCTGCGCGGAGCGATTTTCCGGCTGAAAGAGCGGCAGCGTCCCTAGCACCTCCACGCTGGCCGCAGGCAGGCTGGGCCGCGGTTTCGGGGTGCCGGCTGGTGGGGGGGTGTCTGCTGCCCCGGGCGTGCCTCTGCCGGGGCGAGGAGGGGTCGGGCTGCTTCCCAGCCTTGAGCTGGCGGGGTCGTGCCGTGGGGCTCGCTGGCTGCCTCCTTAAGCAGGAAAACGAGGAGAAATGCCATGAGGCTCTTTTCTGCTGTACAGAAGGGTTGAAAAGATGTTGTGCTGCAGTGATTCAGTGGGGAAAGGATAAATCCCTCACATACACCTACGCACCACCACGAGAAAGAACTCCGTGGGCAGAGAAGGAGCAGAACATGAAATATGAATTTCCTCGAGCTGCTCGGGAGGAACGGCTTTCCAGAGCCCTTCCTCTGGCGGCTCTGTGCTCCCTGGGGAGAAGGTCTGCCCCCGCCTGGGGAAGGCCCCCCCGGCGCGGGCTGCTCGCCCTGCCCCATCGCTCGCACCTGCAGCCTTGGTGAAGGGCGAGTCCCCTTCTCACAGGGTTTTGGGCTGCGGTTCCCACCCGAGGAGACGGGTCGAGGCTGGCTGCCCGTCCCCCTGTAAGCTGGCAGCTCCAGCAGGCAGCAGCTCCAGGGCCAAGGGAGGCGGCGGGGGCGGCTCCCACGACGGAAAAGCTTGGGAAACCCTAGTGTAGGCTTCTGCCAAGTCCTTGGGTCATCAAGTGGTGCCCCAGACAACTGCTTGCCCCAAAACCACCCCCCACCCCCTCAGCCAAATCTGTGATGCTCCTGACTCCCTGTTCTTTGGTAAGTCCACAAAGAATACCCCTCTCCGGGGCGGGGGGGGGGCTGCGGCTGGAGATGCTGAAAGGGTCGACGAATGCTTCTGCCCGTTTAACAACATGTATGGAGGTCCTTAAAGCGTGTTCATCTGAGATGCGCACCATCTGCGATGGTCTCCGGTGGAGTAGGGGCCGCGCAGAGCCTGGTGCACTTGCGGAGTCCCCCGGAGGAGCCGTTGCAGCAAAAGTAGTTGCTGCTGGTTCGGGTACATTTGATTTACATTGCAAGGGGTTTTATTCAATTTTGTTTGCTTTCTTAAATATTTTATATTACTTCTCAGTAAATTTGAATTCCTCCTATGTCTTTAGAGTGTGTGTATATGCAGTTAATTTCCTATTACCTTGGGGATTTTAGACAGCTTCATTCTCAGAGCTATTTAGAAAATTATTTAATCACCTTGGAAAATCCTATGTAGCCAAAAAGTCTTGTGTTTACTTATTACTCGGTTGTAAATTGGTGGTGCGAAACATAGCAGTACTGGGTTGTAAAACTGCACATAAGCCTCCATTGAAATCCAGTGCCAAAATTTAGAAAAAAATAAAAAATTAACTCTTTGCATGCAGTGACACGAATGCAAATGAATTTTTTCATCTTAAGGTTGGGCAGGAATTTCCGAGGTTTCTGCAGAGCCGAGTAACCCCACAGATTCAGGGTAGCTCATCGGTGACACACCGAATTAGGATGTGATCATATTTACGCATTTTGAAACCCCGTAATGACTCATCCGTATGCCATTAAAAGTTTGTGCTTCGTACATGTGTGTTTGGCTGCTGAAAAGGGGCCGTGTCGAACACCCACGGGGTATCGGGAAGACAGCCTTTCCTCCCACCACCGCCTGCGGCGGGCAGGGCACGGAGGCACGGGCGCCGGGACGCCGCTCGGCGGCGGGTGCCCGCCTGCGGATCTCAGCCCTCTTGCC